CTTTTCTCCGATTTGTTAAGTTAAATCGACTCCATATATAAGATCCCAATTTGTAAACGCTTGTCAGAGCAGAGAAAGCAATGAAATATAAAAGTTGATAAGTCCAGCCACAGTGGGTTTGAAATCTCAATGGGTCTTAGTCGAATACAAGTGAGTGTATAATTGCAATAAATATTCTGGAAAAGAGGCACTCCAGAACTCAAGAGATTTATGAGTGACTGGCCAAGTAACGACCGTCGCAAACGTTTAGAATTAAGTGGTAAGTCTTTAATTTGGTCATCGCGCTATTGGGAAGAGATCAAAAGAATAGCCGTGTCGCCTGATACTGAGCAGATGGAAAGTACTGGTCATAAAATTTTTCAGCTAGTCTGAAAGACGCACAGTCACACATACCCGAACCTACACAGATCCTCACGCTCTAAAGTGCACAAACACAAACACACAAGCATAGATCTATGTGAACTGACGAAGATGCACTTATATATCATGAGAGTAAGAAAAGTTAAGGCACAAAAATAAACGAATATATACCCTCTATAAATATACACTGATAAGCCAAAAATGATATAATAAGTGACATGTTGCAAGAATGATATCTAGCTTCTCGTAACAACTGTGTATCTTGGAGTCAGATATATTTACGTAGGTAAACTCTCCTCGAATATTAACACTTCATTTTGATGCATTGAATTCCGTAGTTATGATCAAGAAGAAAGATTTGAGTGTTTTTAAAAAGCTACACTCTTGTAATCCAAAGACCAGATCAGAGATTTTCCGAAATTGTGGGGTTTATTTGGTGCTAAAGTTTAATTGTGTTGAGTATCTATCACCAAGATTCTGAAAAGCGATAAAATAAAACAACCACGCTGATGGTATTTGCTAAGCAAAATGTATGAACGGACGCTTCCCAAATACAAACTAAATGAATGGTAACTGTAGCACAAAATAACTTCAAACGGAGTGAAAGATGGAATGAATCACAACACGCAGAACATCAATCAGCTGCACAATTGGAATTTATCGCTGAGAGCGACTCTAATGTGCATGCAAACCACAAAACTGGAGTTTTGATAACAGAAGAAAGTTCCCTGGTCAGATATGTCTCTCTTTCTCCTGAATGACTGAGGGTAACCTAGGTGTGCATCGTTGTACTTCATAAGTAATGGTCCTTGGATGCACAGAGGAGTGAAAGAGAATGGAAAAAGACTTTGAAAAGAACAGGAAACCTAGTCCTAAGTAAAAAACAAAATAAACCTCTGCTTCTGTTCAAAGACCGGAGAGAAGTGTGAAAGGCGAATATATCTACACCTATAATTATTGTATACCTTGTTTTTGGCAAACCTTTGTACATGTTTCTTTAAATATGATGGACAAAAAACATAGTTTGTACGTTTTATTCATATTTTATGATTTTTATCCAATTTCATTTTCTTTGTTGAGTAGGAAGTGTGTGGAAAAATTATCTATATTTTTATTGTCCCACGGATATTCGTCTATTAATTTAGCCATTTCCAGACGAGATGTATTTTCGTAGAAGTAATAGATTCTTAATGGAGTTTTGCTAAGTTTCCGCGTTCAATCCCCAAAAGGTACTATTGAATGGAGTCTGTTGCCTCTATTAGTATCTTCAGTATACAAACACACACACACACGCGCATGAGCATAAACGTTATTGCGCGTACACGTTAATACACGTACATATTATTGCGCGTACACATTATTGCGTGTACACATTATTGCGCGTACACGTTAATGCACATGCGCGCGTCTTCGTGTGCTGGTTTTGTATTTATAAGTTCACTGATCGTTCCATCTTTATATATCTTTGTTTCTGTCTGATGGAAATATTTGATCTGGCGCCTAGTGTAGATCGATGGTTAGCAAGTACATTTAGTCACCCATTTCTCGTAAGATCAAATTACATTGATTGATTCCCTATTGTGCTCTTGTGTTTGAAAAAGCTTAATAAGTAAACCATCATTTTCTATCATAATATTGTCTCATTTTACTAAGAAATGCATCAAGCATATCTAATATACCAAGAAATATTTCTAACTGTTCTGTTTAAAGAAAGATTATGGCCCCCACAGGAATCTAATTTGTATACCATTTATTTACTCCCGGATGTACAATATTTTTTTTTAGTTGGACTTCTCAGTCAAGGACCGTTTTTATTAATTGTGCTGTTGAGGAAAAATAAAAAAGCAGGGATAGAAACTTAAGTACATGTTCCTACTAAAAATAACGTTTTTTTCTGTAATTCTGTCGTTGAAGTTTCTTAGAATTAATAGACCGTCATCCCTGTATAGACCTATATTTTTTGTTAATATTATTTGTTAATTTATTATGTATATGCCTATGAGTTCACATACTTTTGCACCATGATAGCTACCCATTAAGTATATATATATATATATATATATATATATATATATATATATATATATATATATATATATATGTGTGTGTATACGAAAGGATAATAAAGAGTTCTCGACATGAACATTGATTAATTGATTTGTTTTGTTTTTTACAGCTTTGAAAATGGTTGCGAGTCAATTATAGCCGGGTAGAAACCTAGGCGCTAATAGAATTTCTATTGAAGAAGGAAAATGTGTTTCAACTGGATGTTTATCGAAAGGCAACACTTTACGTATGCACAATAGGGAGACGAACCAATTAATAATAATCTTATAGATTTTTAAAAAATCATTCATTCTAAACTCTAGTGATAATCTCTACAGTGAAGATAACGTCAAATATTTTAAGTTTCTCCTTACAATAGACATTAGAATCACTACTGCAAAATCTGTGAAAGTCTTCAAACGAATGTTGGTAACTCTAGTTTAGACCATTATCTTGTCTACTCATACGCGTCTGTGCAAACTAGGTTTCTAAGATAATGATTGGTTTCATGAGGGAGTGTAGGGTGGTTGGTGCTGAAGATCTTGAGCCAACCACATGTATCCTGCTGAGAAGACAGCGGTTATCGTGAAAGCGATAACTTGCATAAGGCCGATGCCATTGCGACATGGAGTAATGGATAGAGATACTAGTCTAGTTGAGAATTTATTTCTTAGTAGGAAATTCCAATCTTATTGGCAGTCTCATCAAAATTGAACATTAAATTACCCAACAAGAATTGATGTTTTAAAATCGTGGGCAAGTGACTGAAGCCGAGCCGCCAGATCAGGAATAATAATATTGCTGATCTTCTTTGGTTCTTATCAAGGAACTCCATCGGAATAGGACCATACATGGCAGCAATATTCTAAGCATGGACGAGTAGTAGTCTTATAGATATGCAAGATAGATTCATAAGAGAAGAATTGTCTCGCCCGACACAGAAAACAGACTTTCTTAACAGCTGAGTATGTCAAGGAGACTATATTGATGAGTAGTTTGCAAATTCAGAAACATTTGACTTCAAACGTGAAAGTTTGATGTGTTTCTATTATTAACTATTATTATTGCAATTAAAGAAGTTTATAAATTTTGAGTTCGTATCTATTAACCTATCTTGATCTCTGTCTCTCAATCTAAGTATATTTATCTACCTCATTCTATACATATTCAAGCCTATCTATCTAAATCTGTGTGTTTGTATATGTGCACGCGCGTGTGTGTGTGCGTGAGTGTGTTTATATTGAGTGGTGTGTTTATATTATGTGGAGTGACATATATATGTCTTTCATATCCACTGACAATAACCCATATTTACGCGTCTATGACGACAAAAAATATTCTGTTCAATGATTGAAACCTATGCTGATAAATCTTTTCAGAACTAATTAGAAATTGATTCCACACAACATCTAAAGTCTTCCTCTGGGATCTGGCATTAAAAGCAATATTTTAACTGCTGCAATTAACACTTTAAATGATCTGCACAGCGAACTAGTTGATGCAACATATAATTGCTCAAATGTGTAGAGAACAACAAAATGCAAATCTCTTTACGGTGCTGAAACTTTATTGTATAAGCCCATTACTATTAACAGGTGTACATATTCCTCAGTGACGTTCGGATAGATTGGTACCCGACAAAATGGCTTCAATGTGAATAGCAATATCCAGTGTTTTTCGACAGAACATTTTTCATATTTTGCCACATTATCTCCGCGGATTTCTTGTTTAATCTGCAGTGCATCTTAGGGCAAATGCCTCACCGTGGTAACTTACCCATCAGGCGAACGTTTAGTTCATTGGATCAGAAGACCTTTCAAGTATAAAAGGTCCAGACTTATTTTCAGTAAATGATATTGGGTACATGATTACCTGGGTTCCAGCAACCCCGTAGACGCTTTATCCTGATTTATTACGCTTAACTTGATGAAACTTGGAATTGGTTTCACAGCAGCACATATGTTGGATTGAACTTAACAGAGAGGATTTCATCCAGTATTGCATTGATAATTTTTAGCCGACCAGTGGTTTGTTAGCGTGTCTTTTTCTCAGAAGATTAAAGACGATAAATTTATAGGTACTCAACAGAATGACGTTTTTGAAAATTCTATTGACTATTCTTTTCGCCATAACAATATTCTCCTTTTCAAAATCTCTCAAAATTTTCTTATTCATATATGTAATATATTGATGGAGACCTACATGATTATCTATACCTGACCCTGATATACGCTGCTGTTATATGACAGAAACTGTCATTCCAGTCATGTATCTGACGTCATAATAGTTTGATTCATCAGTGTATATTTGCAAATTATTGTTTTATGAAATAAAGTGAGTTAAGCATTGCGCAGACTGACACGTAGGTATCAGTTAAATGTTCATCTGTCATTTTCCCTAAATAATACATGAAATATGTGATTAACCGAGACATGTTCTATTAAGTGCATTCACAAGTAAGAAAGAATATCATCTTGAAAAATAATTATTTATTGATTAATTTCGTTCCATAATTAGGCTAAGAAATTGTTGATTTAATTCTCGATATGAAAATGCCCGCGTAAAATATGAAAGTGTCATCTTTCGGAATTCACATATATTCTCGTTTTGGTAAATAGATACGAACAAAATACGATAGATAGATAGATAGATAGATAGATAGATAGATAGATAGATATTATATAATAAATTCTTCTGGGAAAAGCATCAAATACGCTAATGCACATAAATGAGTACATACTTTTGCTTCTCGCTCATTTTTTGGGTACCAAAACTACAAGCATTAATAGAAAATAAATTCAGTTACATCAAATGTTGATTTTAAATAGATTTTTAACTGCATCTTATTCATATATTGAGGTACAGAGATTCACTGAGTTACGATGAGTTATTATGAATAATAGTAAATAATATCTGATTTTATTGTTTCATTTTCCTATAGAAATAATACATCCTCTGCTATGTTTATTTGAGAATAAAATTGGATGTTATAATAGAGATGTACACAATTCATAGATAGATAGATAGATAGATAGATAGATAACGATTTTATATGAGTAGATTTATAAATGAAGAAATATAGTCAAATTAATAGAAATATTAATTTTCATCAAAGCCATGCAAGCGATAGAGAGTTCCTTCGATACTGGATGTTCAACGAATGCCATTTATCTTGCCTTTCTCTAAATCTTTATGAAATTCTCCTTCCTCTACTCATCTCTCTCTCTCTCTCTCTCTCTCTCTCTCTCTCTCTCTCTCTTTTCATCACTCTCTTAGTATTTGAATTTGTTGCGTATTTCACGTTAGCTGTTGTGGCTGATGTTCGAAATCACTTCAAGGTTTTTATGTCGATTGCAGTTTTTTATAGTGTACTAGTTCTATTCATTTAGGATACTGGCAAAAAACAGTTTTATTCCACCTGATTAGACACTATAAGAGACTAAGTTAAGCTTAATAAATTTATCTTTCTCCCCTTTCTATGTATATATATATATATGTGTGTGTGTGCGTGTCTGTGTGTATGAGTGTGTGTAGGTACTTATATGAATAAGCACGCGCACATGCACATATGGCAACTTTGTATTTAGATATACCTACATAAATATATGTATATATACATATATATATGCATATATATATATATATATATATATATATACTTACACATATATGTACATTTATATAAATATATACATATATATACATATATATATACAAATATATATACATATATATATATACATACACACACATACATATATATATATATATACATATATATCGTCAGAGGTTGGAACCTGTTTATGAAAAGTTGAAAATGCTCAAATAGAGTAATGAGTAGCTGACGCGAGATATTCCGTTGTTTATTTGAGCAAGAGGAAGTTAGAGGAAGCGAACACATCCGTCCGCCTGGTCTTCACAGCCTGTGCAATATTTACTAAATCAATCGATTGCGAGAAACTGTGGCCGAGACTAAATGAAAATCGCGTTGTGCCTTAAAAGGGTGGACGCGTGAAGAAAGGCCGCGCGTGCTAACATAAGCGAAACTGCTGCACGAGTAGAGAAGGTGCTGAAAAGGAAAGATAGTGGCAGGCAAAAATGGACGAATAAACAAAAATCTTTCGATAGGGAAGAATTAATGAAAAATTGATAGACAAAAAGAAGATTTGATAAATGCAACGAATATGTTTGTGATCCACACATAAATCTGCGGTGATTTGTAAATAGGTTTATTAATACGTTTTACACACATAGCAATTATTAAGGCTTTTTAAAATTAAAAGTATTGATTTAATTTTACATATACTTTTCGAATATGGAGCAAATAAATGTAATAATGATAAATAAATAGGAAGGAAATAGGGGTTTAATACAAATTCGGTTGTAATAATCAGTGTGGGTCAGAAATTTTTCTAATATGTAATAAGCGGAAGGGTCTTAAATAAAAAGGGTCGGAAAATTGACTAAAATGCCAAAAATTTCGAAATTCATAAACGGGTGTTATTAGAAAACACTCAGTGGGATCAAAAAATATCCTAAAAAAATAAACATCCCCACCTCATCTCTTGGACATTTAAAAATAATCATCACATATGTTAACATAAGTAAGTGATTCAATAAGTTTTTGTTTTTACAATTTTGTTCATCCTGTACAAGACCTAAGAGCCTCCCGAGGTAGTGGATTAGAGAGTAAGACGCACGGTTTATGGAGGCATGTTGAGAAGATGGCGGTTGACCCTAAACTTGAACAGGCCAAAATTGTATTGATCGGGAAAGCATTCTCTTCCACAAGGCAGAGGTTTGTGGGATAAACTTCACCAGTGGAATCTCACCAATCGAATATGACTAGAAAGTGGGTGATTAGCTTATTTTGTGTAACATGGCGTATCTTAGCCGTGATGGTTAAAACTGGTGAATCGAAGGAAAACTTTTAAAGCCGCGATAAGCTATCTGGGAAAGATGTAGGTAGAAAATAATTCGTCACCCAGAATGACCCGCAGGCACTTGTAGACTATCTAGACAGGATAGTGAGAACTGGGCAGTTATTTGCCCATATATGACAGCAGCATTCCATTTTCGGCCTGATCTGGCTCTTGTAATGGAATAGGATAGCGGCGGAGTCAGGTACTTACTGGAGCGGTACAGGGAACCGACATTTTGAAAACAAATTGCCAGAATTCATTTATTTACTCAAGTGTAATACCTGAACGCAAGTATTCTTCTTTAAATAACCTAAAGCTTCCTATACTCATAGCGGTAAAATCTTCTTTCTTTTTTTCATTTATTAATAATATTTATTGAGTAATGACAATTTCCAAAGCAGACATAATGTTTTACTTGATCATTTTATCTGTCTATATCTCTGAGATGAGGTATTATGATTAAATAAAGGGTTTGGTTCGAAATTCAAATCACCTGAAGAAGGTCGGAGCGTACAACGGCCGAAACGTTGTGAATATGGCATTGAAGATGAGGATAACAGTCCGAACAATGTAAATAATGCAAGTTGATCTTTTTTTTTAAATCATTTCGCCCATAGCAAGGTGATAACTCTACTATGACGCAATGGGTTACTGTAAATGAAAGATAAGGAAAGACCTTAGAAGGAACAGGAAACCTAATAATGGTGTAAATTTCAGTGTTCACGCGGAGATGTTAGAAGTTGAAGTAGAATTTAGAAGGAACTGCAAAACGCTGTCCTCAACAGGAAAGAAAGGATAAACTTTTACTCCGGTTAAAAAAAAAAAAAAGTCTTTAGAAAAAATCTGTTATGATTCGAATCCATTGGATAGTCAGAAAAAAATAGACATATTTAATAATTAGTCGTATTTTAAATTTTGTCAATTCATTTTTACAAGAGTAGTATTTCAATCTACAACAGATAAAAAGCTAATATAAAATAGAAAAGGAATAAGCAACCGGAGAGATTTTTACTAGTTGACACTGAAATGTCCTCGACGTTTTCGAAAATCAATCCAGAATCTATAGTAAAAAAATCTCTTATTGATGAAGTCTTTTGGTAACCCTTGCAGTCTTCAATCTGAAGTTATTCAGCGTTGTACAAAAAATTAATATATATTCTTGAAATTCTACTAATATCTAAAAATATAAATGACAACATATGAGACGGTCAAAGAAGTTGAATAATTGAGATCTTAATACGTGAAGTTTCCCGTGATATAATTGGTAATGCAAAAGTTGCGTGATAATATTTTTTTCGAGAAAATGAAATAGGATTTCAAGTATTATCAAAGACTAATTTTTTCCCGATCCTCCTATATATCGATTGTAGAATAACTAAGTGTTGCAATAAATGTCATTAAGCTAAAAAAATGCTTCTCCAAATTGTATAGAAATAAAATAACTCACTTATTCTTGTTATTTTATTTCTTTGCAGTTGTGAAAAATATTGCATTTAACCAACTTGTATAAGGTGTTTAAATGTAAGGAAAATAAAATAACATAATTAAAATAAAAATGAAATATTTTAAAATTCAAAATAGCTTTGATTTAAAGCTTAAGTGAATTACGAATTTAAGCATACAAGTACGCATTTATTACCTTCAAGCGTATTTATTTATATATATATATATATATATATATATATATATATATATATATATATATGCACACATATATAAAATATATATATACAATAATATATATGTATACGTATATATTTATATATATATACGTGTATATATATACACGTACACGTATATATATAAAACATATATACATATATGTATATGCATATGTGCATCTATATATATATATATATATATATATATATATATGTGCATATATATATATATATATATATATATATATATATATATATATATATATATATATATATATATATATATAGGCACCAATTTTCTTTTTATAAAAATTAAAAAGACTGACATTACTTACCTGAATTTTAAAAGTAAAAAAAAAATCATCCTTGAAAAATGGGTAAAAGAATAGTCGAAAACGCTCGGACATTTATGTCCAGAAATGAAAAGAAAATTATAAGAACATTAGAAAAAAAAACTTAACTACATTAAATTGTCACTTGTTTATAAAACTCATAACTATACATCTGAATATAAATATATATATATAATATATATATAATGGTCGAAAAAGCGTGATACCCAGGGTCACAAACTCATATACATACATCTGCAATGTTATTGGTCATGACTTGGCATCTCGGCTTTAGCCACTTTCACTTCTCCGTATACTAGCTTCCTTGTACTTTTTGTATAAATATTTTCATGATAATTATTCGGATAAACTTTCCTCTATGACAGTCATACTTTATGAACTTGAGCTCAGTCCAAGGTTGTCGACATGATCACTACAACGGAAATGTCTAGATATATCCGTAAATTCTCTGTTAACAATATATTCTCTCACACTTTTCGCTTGTGGAACTCTATTCTGAGTTTTACATTTTATGGATATCGAAAAAATGTACTGTCTATATTAATCTGTTTTAATGAATATAATTCTATATTTCACAAGCATTTCTGTCTTTATATAGGTGCATAAGTATTCCAGTACACGATTTAAAGCAGATTGAAATATGAAGTTGGTCCCATCACTGGCACTCCACTGTAGATGACAGAGAAGTTTTCTTTTGGGCAAATCAGTTTTCTATATCTACTGCTCATGTGAAATCACCGTAAGAAATGTTGTCAATTCTGACAGAAGCGAATCAAAAAATATTTAAGAAACTGCGTTATTG